ATGTATGAGTGTGATGTGTGTGTGCGTGTGTACAATGTGTGTGTGTACAATGTATGAGTGTGATGTGTGTGTGTGTGTGTGTGTACAACGTATGAGTGTGATGTGTGTGTGTGCAATGTATATGTGTGATGTGTGGTTGAGATGTGTGTGTACAATGTATGTGTGTGATGTGTGCTTTAGCTGTGTGTGTGTACAATGTATGTGTGTGATGTGTGCGTATGTGTGCTTTAGCTGTGTGTGTACGATGTGTGTGTGATGTGTGAACGTGTGGTTCAGCTGTGTTGTATGTGGGATTTAGCTCTGTGTGTATGGTTGACGTGTACATGTGTTGTTTATGGTTAAGCTGTCTGCGAGCTGTGTGTACGTATCGTCAACTGTATGGTGTAAATGTGTGCTCTGACTGTATCTGTGTGATGTGTGTACCTGTGGTTGAGTAATGTGTATGTAGTTGAGCTGTGTGTGGGGTTTTGGTTTTGATGTGTGTGTTTATCTCTGTGTGTATGCTTGGTTAGCTGGGTGTGTATGTTTGGTTGAGGTGTGTGTGTGTTTATCCGTGTGCGCATTTGTGGTATAGCTGTGTGTGTTGTTGAGGTTTGTGTGTGTGTGTGTGTTTATCTGTGTGTGTATGCGTGGTTGAGCTGTGTGTGTATGCGTGATTGACCTGCGTGTGATTGTGTAAGCGTATGCTGTGTTTGTATGATTGAGCCGTGGGTGTATGTATGTATGTGATGTGTTTTATATGTGAGTTTGTGTGTCCACTGCGTGCCTTTATGGATGTTTCCTTGTGTTTATATATTCTGTTTGGGCGGCACTTGTATTTAATCAACAAGGTGGCTACACGTAGAAGAACCAGTGGTCTACAACATCAGTATCGATTCACATGACACAAGTTAAAGTGAAGTAATTTATCAAACACTCGCAGTTACTTAATCACCTTCTAATTATACGGCGAAGATGGGCCAAAAGCGTGGACAAGGCGTGCAAATACAAATTACGTTTGTTTTGTTAGACTGTAGTCTTAACAATAGTGCGTTATGAAACACATTAGTTACACTAAAAATATCCTCTTTATGTAATGATAATAATTAACTTCATGAAATAATACAAAACAATAATGTTCATTTGGACATAGATTTTTAAGTATATATTTTCAGTGCGAATGAAGCTTGTTTGTTTCCTTGTTGTTTAATGCTTTAAAACTTTAAAATATTCCGGTTATATGACGGCGGTCTGCAAATAATCGAGTCTGGACCAGACAATCCAGTGATTGATATCATGAACGTCGATCCACGCAAATGGGATACGATGACATGCATCAACAAAGTCAGCGAGCCTGACCACCTCTTACTACAAGCATGGTCGCCTTTTACGGCAAGCATGGCATGGGTTGCTGAAGACCTATTCTTCCCCGGATCTTCACGCGTCGGGAATGAAGTACATGTTGTGTTTAAAGATGATATGGCAGGAAATTTGGTTCCTTGTCTCGGGACCCGTGACGATTCCGGGGTAGAATAGGTCTTCAGAAACCCATGCTGGCCGTAAAAGGCGACTAAAAGGATCGGGTGGTCAGGCTCGCTGACTTGGTTGATGCATGTCATTGATTCCAATTGCGTGGATCGATGCTCATGATATTAATCACTGGATTGTCTGGTCCAGACTCGACTATTTACAGACCGCCTTCATATAGCTGGAATATTGCTGAGTGCGGCGTTAAACAACAAACCAACCAACCAACCAACCTTGTCTCGGGGGTATTTCCATCACAGTGAGTACATACAGGGGAGACCTGTTTATCAAAGACACTGCCGTAACCAGTGTTGTAGTGTAAACTGATGTCGGTACTATTCCGACGATAATAGTACTAGTGGCAATAGCTGACACTATTGTGAGTCAGTTACTTTAGCAAAGGTAAGTGGAAAGACGTGTACTTACTTTGGTTGCTTTGAATTCGACTGATTCACACGTGGGATCCGAGCTTGCTGATTGGCTGGGAGGTTTTTCGGGTCCTGCAGCTCGGGCTGCGGCTCTCGGGGAACATCGGCTGTATTGGCGGACATGGCCGACCACCACAGTGTCCAAGACGAAGTCTAGCAATGATAACTTCCCAACCTTTCTTTCGTTGATGAATTGACGACAGACTGTGGTCATGTGTCGGCCAGATGTCCCAGCATCCAACAACTATTGCCACTTTGTGGTGAAAGATTTTATCAAATGGGAATCTGAATTCAGATATCTTTATCTGGATTGGCAAGCCAGATTTCGCAAGTTGGTCTGCTTTCTCATTTCCATGCAGCCCAAAGGAGCTGTAACCCATCCAATATCACGCGTAATATACTCCTGACTTAAGGTATTCCCTGTATAATGGGAAGTGTTGAAAACCCGTCCGTCTCTGCTTGCGTACTTGCCTAGCTAGTTTAATGTTCCGAAAAAGAGGACAGTCGTCGTCCTTGCAAGGGTCGCCAAAGCAAACCAACTCCGTAGTTGTGATCGATGAGCACGTTTGATTTTAATATTTTTGTGTGATTACCGGTATTTTTCTTTCTGAATCGACCACATCTGTCTGTCTATCGCCATGTTTGTTTACAATAAGGGGCATACCTCTTACTCGGTATTACGTCACCCGAACATTGCCGATGTTGGAACACCGGAATTAAGTGGTAGTTTTCACCGGAAGTGTCCCATTATACAGGGAATACCTTAAAATGATGTATGAAGCTGTACTTCGTGAACCATTGATGCCAGTCAATTGTCTTAACAGCTGCTATGAAGTCAGTAAATATAACCAACTCATGACCATATTCATTCACCCACCTTAGAGCTACGTTCAAGCAGCAAATACTGAGAGATGGTCATTTAGCCTGAACACACTTGAGATGTCAAAATCGTAAATCCAATATGCCGCAGCAGTTCGACCCATGATTGAGTGAGTTGGGTTAAACTCCGCCTTTAACTGTACTCCCCAAATCCATTCGGGTCATTTTACCATCATTTAAAATCACCAGGTCTCATTCATCTAACGGGTGTTCCATTGTAGTCCAGTGTATTACTTGCCACAAACACTGTGACCATAAAAATATCGCCACAATTGAAACAGGGATCATAACCACCCCCTGTTAATTTTACATAATCGTTTACATTGGGTTTTCCAATGTTGCAAACATAAATTACTTTCATACTTTCATTGAATTAGTCAAGGAAAATCTTAACAGCAATGGCCAAATTATGCTTTTTTGAAGGACAACAACAAATATTGCTTAGCCTCCCCTGCGAGCGGTCGAGACATTTCGATTGGTTATTATTCTATCCTGGCGGAAACTGACAGCACTTGATCTTAGAATTACCATCCGGCAAAAAGAATGTCCATTGAACACATATAACGTCTGGAAGCTTGGAATTATTTGAAATGGAGCTGCCAGACTTTGATTGACAGGTCCTATGAACTCAGTAAAACGAGGTGAGGTGAAATGGGGTTTAACGTCGCGTCTAAGATTATTGCACTTATATAGCTACGTGCATACACGATTTATAGTGCTAGCAAACTGAGATACCATGCCGAAGTTTAATATGAATATCCCACTCAGACACCGTATACCGACTCCGAGCCGACCAGTCCTTGTTTATCCCCTTAATGCCGAGCGCCTGACAGGGTAACAACAAGGACCATATTTTAACGTCTTGTGTTATGACGCGGTCAGGGATCGAAACCCGGACCTTTCGCTCTCCGGGCGGACGTTCTACCACCAGACCACGGAGGCGGTCGCCAGACTTTGAGAATTCCCGTGCTAAAATAGTAAAGATTACAAGAATTTTACCCATTATTCTTTTCAAATGTAAACTTTTCAAAATATAATTTGAGACATCAAGCAGGAGATGTGATTTATCAAATAGATATCCCCATTCCCTTCATTTTGGCAATCCATATTGAAGCGGTTTACATCCGACGACCAGCTCGCCAAAACACACCCACGAAAGCTGATACCACCAGCTGTATGGGGCGAGAAGTCCCTGCCACAACACATACAACAATTATAGCAAATATGACAACAAAGTAAGTCAACATTCATGCTGACAATAAATTAAAAATATCTTGATGATATCATATCCTGTTAAAACCATAAAGGACGAAATATTGACGATATCTGACCCGCGAGAGTGACTCACCACTCGCGTCTGACCTGGCCGACAGTCTGACGCGGTCCTTGAGTTTAAAGATTACAGGAAATAGAGTTACGTCCCTTGGACCACATTCTTGCAAGCTCCTTCCCAGCGCGTGAAACCTTCGTTACACTCTCGGTAACATCGCTGCCACCGGTGTGGGCGCGGCCATTACAAGAATCTTGAAATTTGCCCTCTAACCCCAAATGTAGTACCGTTTATACTTTTGTTTATGTCTTTGGGAATGCCATCAAATTTCATTTTGAAAAAGTTAACGACTAACCATGTTTTCCAGATCAATTTTCTTTGTTGTTTGTATAATCAGATTGGTTCGAGATTGCAGACTAACGGAAAATCAACCAACTTCAGCCTTACATACTTACTATATCAATAACATGATAGTTTTAATGAAATAGAAATTCAAATTTACAAACAAACAAAGTAATTTATCAGCGGTAAGTGTATTCGGCGTCACGACAGTCGTCACTTGTTTGTAAACATAACGGTCATTCGGTTGCGAGTTCAACTCCAAGCATGGTTGGGGACACCTATCACAGTGGGGAGTTTTGACTGGTGGCAGCGATGGTATAGAGAGCTCCGCGAACGGACTATCGCTGTGAGGAGCTTGACATTCTTGATTCTCTTTAGGCTGACATAAAAACGCTGGAATATTGATGAGACTGCGCCCTAAAACAACAGTCACTCACTTGTAATTTGACATTTCGATGTTCAGGCGTCCTTTAATCTGTATCTCTCCAAGACGATCTGTTGACGCCACGGTATCGCTGTACAACCTTCTACCCGCGGGAGGCGACAGGAGACGACAAACGATAGACAAGCAACACTAAAGTGCGTGAATGATTTATTGCAGTATGACATGGAGGAGTCGGAGTTACAGGTTCTATCGGGGCAGAGTATTCCTGTATACAATAATGCCTAGGAAAGACATGTTCTAATGTTGCATAGTTCTGTATCACGACACTATCAAGTGTCTAACACAAGCCGCCCATCATGCTATGTCTCGAGATATACCCGTCAAGCCAAAACTCATTCCAGCCCACACTTCTGTATATTTCAGTAATAAACAATGCCACACTGTACCCTTGTTCATTTATATTACGTAACGTTAAATCAGTATAGATATCCATGGCTAAAGGCGACAGGACTAACGCGAGACTCATAAAGTCCTTAAGATAATTTTCTGAAGAAATTCCGTGCCAAGACACCTTCCAAACTAGACATAATCATCTCGCCTACATTTAGTTTGATAAGAGGCTGTCAAGCGCAACATAAACAACATACGCTTGTAGTTTTTTCACTTTCTACAAAGTTCATTTCTCCATTACGACTGCAGATTCTTGGAAACTCGATGAACATTCTCAACAAGAAACAATTCGTCGGTACAAGTCAAATTAACTATAGTAATATGAATGAATTGGGTGTTGTTTATCTACTTCTGCGTAGTACAGTTCACTGTAAACAGCCAGTTCATGGTTGCAAATTGTTCAAAGGGTAGGACATGGGTACAATGTGTGAAGCCCATTTATGGTGTCCCCTGCCGTGATATTGCTGGAATATTGCTAAAAGCGGCGCTAAACTCACTCACTCAAAGGGTAGGAATAACTCATCACTCATTAAGCAGATCATGCATCGACTTGCCGTTCAAGAACTGTATAAGAATAAATACTTCCTTGAGGGTCAGTTTTGAGTGTCAACATTGAAGTTTCCGAGTTGGACCGAGTACCTCACGACATGAAATGAGGTGACACAATGTAATTGTAAATTACCAGTGTATTACAGCAATCCTAACGAGAACTCCTTAATCCGAAACAAACAAATATGTTACATAAGAATGAGAACAGCAACCCAAACATCATCATATGTACCACTACCCCCACCAATCTTTGTGTGATTCAAGGAGAAGATAACTCGCGGTGTCTTTGACGCCAAAGGGACATAGGATGATCTGGTCCCAGGATTCGACCTGGCTTATTGTATTGCATCGTATCAATCATGGCCCATCTCCATATTTACAGGACACTCTGGTATAGCTGTAACATTAACTCCGACGTAAAACAACCATCACTCATTCACTCAATTCAACCTTCGTGATGAACATGATTGCAACTTGGACCAAATGCCATGTCATTCAAACAGAGCGAGTTCACAATAACAAACATATATATCATATTATTAGTTAGTGATATCACGATAACCAAAATACACCAGGGTTACCCTTTGTCTGTGGTATTTCGTCCTGACAATTATCAACACCGGTATGCGACACCAACAAAAGACAAGACCCGAATAGCCCACCCTGTCGCATCCCCAGCTGAATATTCTTGGATCGCGTGTACAATGTGTCACCTCACTACGGTATCTCGGTTAAACAGACCCCAATAAAGATGTCTTCCGAGAATGAATAGTTGTAAAAACAGTGCTCGTCCTAACATAACCTTCATGAATATATTGAAATCATAACTTGGATAGACGTTTCCTGATTGAGGTACACAACAGTCCACCTAGATGTTGAGATCAGGTATACAGTCTGAACAACTAAGATATACTGATTTGGCTAAACACTGGGCGGTAGGACCACCCAGTCATAATACTTATGTTTTGCAAATTATGCAGATTTAGTTTCGATTGTATAGAACATATGGCAGACGTAGTCATAACTACACACCATTGACAATCTACACAAAACAGATCTATTTTTGTATCAAAATGTGATCACATCAATCTTATTAAATCAGATCTTTTACTCCTATATGATCTTTCTCTGTGTGAAGATCTTACAACCATTTTATGTCACGTCAACCGGGTGAACCTTCTAATCAACGTCGAGGGTTCTACATTCTCGAGTCACCGAAGCATGGAGCCACATTACTGATTTCTTTTTCTCGTAAACGGACCTTAACGACCACTTCCGATGTGAATACCAGAGGCCGTGCCATAATATGCAGAATTCTCTACACCCTGTCGTTTCTGAGCGCCATGGCATTCTTCATACAAAAGGCAGTACTATCGAACGAATACTTTTGGTCTTGATTTTCTTTTGTTCCAAATTTCCGAATCGAGGTGGTAGAGAAATGAAATTGTCATATCATCACGCAGAGAGGTGTGTTATCGGAGTACACGATCTAAATGTAATGTCATTGTGACCATCTGATCAACAAATATACAGTAACAAATATCATCTGTCATACAAAATGAACGTTTCGCCTACACTAGTCATCAGAACCGCAGGAGAATTCTAAAATACAGTTCACACTGATTTAAACGAAACTCTCTCCAGGGATTGTCAACAGCATTTAGTTAAATCATGCTTGTGTTTTCTAATTCCATCAAATGAATAGCCAGCAGATATTTGAAACGATCAAAAGAGATATTCCGAAGCAGCATTTAAATGATTGCTGTATCACATCAGATGCGACGAGTTTCGCGCAGGTCTATCAAAAGCTGCCCACCGAAAATGAGATTCGATCAAATCACTAAAAGGTATGACTGACTGTAACCATGCATAATGGATACGGCCTCTATTTCCAGCTTAGAAAACAGTGCTGTGACAAGACTACTTCTCGGGGACATATTAGACCTGGCTGTTACACTGATTGATTCAAAATACCGCTAACATCATAATTCTTGTCCAGGCTGAATCGATTATTAGAGTGGGGGGACGGGTGGCCCAGTTGTGTCAGGGGCCGCAATTCGCTGCGCAGAGGTAATTCCCTTGGGCACGTCAGAAACCAACGATCGTGGGTTCAAATCCCGAATGATGTTTCTAGGTTTGTCAGCACCATACCCGTACTCGTGGGCTTCACCAAAGTGGTAAACGTCTAACACCTGCATCACGTCGTGTTTCTTCCCATATTTAGCGGACACGCCGTGATGCAACCGAAATACTGTTCAAAGCGGCGCTAAACCTAACTCATTCACTAATATTACAGTATTTCCACGCAGGTAAAGTTGCTTCTAGTGATTCATTTGAGGCTACATGTAAAGTTGTCTTGTTTGATGTGAAATATTGCCAATATCAAATCAAACATACTGCCACACCCACATATACCTGCTACGTGGTATTGGCATAAGCACACATGTCAATCAATTCTGAAATAAGAGAGTGTTCATAGCGCATGTACATGTACATGTGTCATCGGTAAGGCACATAACATAACATACATCCTCCGTGCCCTCCCTTGTTCACAGGTATGTTTGATATATAACAATCAACAATACACAGGTAAAACACCAGTACAACAGTTTATACAACCGTGACACGTGACTCTTGTTGTGTACAACGTCGATGAGTTGTAGCATGAATGACTTATCCCGATATGTGATATGTATACGTATCACATACATTCCAATTCAAACTCAAATGCTTTGATTTAACAAAAATAAGATCACACAGAAGCATTATTTGACAAAACAAATCTTTGACGAATCACTTCATGAATCTTTGATGAGTCCATTATTTTTTTTCTAATAACAAAGCCGAAAAAAATATTCATAACATGAAATCTTCGCATGGTATTGTTTCATGATACTTGTTAATGGGCAAATTCTAATGCAACGATGTACACAATTGAACCGACACTAAACAGGATATCAGAGAGTGGTTTGTTAGCTTAGTGGGTGCAATCAAGTTAATTTGTGCAGAAGTTGTTGGCATATTGATATTTGACTTGTTAATATTGCAAGAACGCTCATTAAGTTTCAAAATTTAAATGATCAAAATCCTTGGTAGTAAAACCACCAGGGAATCGCTGGCAAGACTGACCACTTGTCAATATATAATATATGTTCCTTTCCCGGTGCAATGATAGCCGTAGCAGGTTTCATGACGATTTCCTTCACGTGTACGTGACTTGCACCTTGTACGCTCGATATAACACGGGGTACATTACTGTTATAATTATAACACATGCTTGGGATCGATTTGGATAGGTTTAGAACATCGAAAACGATGAACAGATGCCCCGAACAGGAAAACCATCTGGACGCAATTACCAGTTCAGATTATGAGCAATATAGATTTCGGTTATAGCGTGTGTATTTTATCAATTCTGATAGTGTGTTCTGTGTACATAGTATATCTAATCTTATTAAGCAGTTTACCATTCAGCAATACCGTTATCCACGGACCACAATGTTTGGGTTGGAACATGGAAAATTATACCCTGTCAATGCGAAAATGGATTGCAATTTTAATAAACCTTCCGCTACATAAAATGAAAAATACTAACAACAATATATTTATTTTTCCTAACAAACATACTGACTAGATATTTGATTACATATTTATAATCGAGATTCTTGTTATATATTTGCACCAGGTGGATGTGTCCGGGTATTTTGGTTATAATGGAACTAAAAAACAAACTAAAATACTTTTGGAAGCAGGATTGACTGTGCATTCCCCAATTTGGCACATTGATATAATGACGTCACACCCAAACCACACATTCGCAAAAAGAAAGAAAAACGTAAATAAGTATCAAAGTGTGTTTCTGGTAAACGGAGATAAATCTCAAGTGAAGCTTCTCGCTCTGAAACCGATTCATGCTGATTTCACATCTGTCAATCTTGTGTAAAGTAGACGATATACTTGAAGATAACGGTTCCACCAGCTGTGTCTGTTTGTCTTCACCAACGACAGTGCATGCCGCTGACAGATTGAAACACGCACCTGCCAATCACTCGGGTGTGAAGGGTTCTTCTGGGTTGTCGGTAGCAGTGTTCCTGTCACATAATCACGTGGCGGAGGTTGTGAAATGTACATGGCATTCGAAAGTCCGGGACACAGGAAGTAACAGACAAGGCTGATATTACGTCAAAGAAGAAAACGTGAAAAACATTTTGATCAACGACCAATCAACCTACCCACGTTTCCAGTATGTTTTTTTTCAACAAGGACACGTCCTCTCCTTTTTCACATTTTAATGGATTATGCTGTTTCCAAATATTATTTAACACGTAACCGAAGAACCAGTCTTCAACAATTCCGGCTCTTCGCCAATCCGACCTCACCGCCGATAAATTAATTTCCGAAATAATATTGTGATCATCTCAAGCTGTTGGCTTCATACATCGACACAACCAGGGAACTGTTCATGATGACGTCCCAGCAGGGTAGCATCAACGCGAGCATGACGGTCACACCTGGTACAGTCACACACAGCACAAGTTTGCAGTTGCACAAAACATATGATAAGTATGCACCACCGATAAAATGAGTCTTTTGGTTCATTGCATTGGATCAGCTGTTTGAATAAATTAAATGCATGAGATGTTTGGCATGATCACAAGGAGGGGGCAGTGACGTCACTCTGGCACTGATTGTGACGTCCACGTTTCCAATAACACATGCCGTTACTCTTATTGTTTCCACCAGATGGGTACATCTGCCCACAGATGTGTTTCTTCACGCTAAATCCATCTCCCCTTCTCCGGATAAAGTTCAATTGTCTCTGATTATGTTATCAGGATTTCATTTGGCAGTCAGTCACAAAAATACTGCAAAGGCCTTTATGAATATATTTCACCTATCACCACACAATGAGTCACATATTTCACAATTCTTTTAAGGTCGTGACCTTGACCTTGACCTCCGATCGCATTCCTTCCTGATTATTATTCCCTGGGTCATTCATATTCCTCGTGCCTTAACATAGTCGCCATCACTGTGGCTACAGGGCCAGCAATCTCGACCTTGACCTTGACCTGAGAGGTCACACGTGACGGAAGGCCTCATGAATTACCTACATCACAAAACGTCATCAAGGCTTTCCAACATCTACCATTATGTGTGTAAACAGTCTTTCGTCGTGAATAAACATTAGTTTATAGTTCACACTGTTCAGACCGTCCATCTTGTACCGTTTCACGGCCGTGTGGAGAAGTTTTGACCTGAAAAGAGACAGAATTTCGTATTAATAACAAAATACGCCATGTTGATATTACGTGTGAGATGTACGTTGTAGCGCCTGTGCTGCTGTATTTAATGTAGTGGTGTAACGATACATCGAACTATCGATTGATTGCGATTGCTTGTCTCACGATAGTACACTATCGATTTCAACTTGAAACAATCGATACTATTGGCGATAGTTTGTTTACTTGTTTTCTTTTCATTTCTTGTTTTCTTTACACATGGTATCAGAAAGCTATAATTAGTTTGATGGTGTCAGTCAAAATGCTGAAATATATGCTGCTAAAGCCTGCTATAATTGCAAGTGAAAACTATCGCAATAGAATCGCAATAGTAGGGCCACTACCGCAATAGTATCGCAATAGTTGTTTTAACTATCGCAATAGTATCGCAATAGTCAAAAATGCCTCAATAGTCACCCCTAATTAAATGTACCTAACATTGAAGAACGTGGTAATCAAAATAGGAAATAGACAAGGGCAGGGGAATACGATATACATATAAGCGACAAAGGTCTTTGCATAATCATTTTACGATTACGATATCGATGTCATAAGCATTTCTTTAAATAAACAAAGGACTCTGGTTTTGGTAGAGATTTTCTATGATTATGGAAATTGTTTTGTGGCTTCTGTGTTTATGATTCACTATTAAATAGTGGTGATGGCAGGGTTCAGGAAAACGTCGGCGCATCCTGCCCCCACACACCCCTCTCACAGCGGCTCCCGTCACAAACACATGCAAAGGCAAGTCAGGTGTTCATCTGATCTGAACATGCCCTTCTCTACAGTTTACACGTAGCTTACAGTCTTAGACATTGTATTCCTTGCAGCTAGATAAACGTAATAGTCAGTTGGCCAGGGGTGAAAAACAAGATTTTTGTTCCCCAATTTTCCTGTATACCTTAAACCTTTTCTATTGCATAAAGGAGGTATTTGTACACAATTTTCATTGGGTAGTAAGCTTGCAAGTGTGTGCGTGAGTGAAGTGAAGTGAGTGAAGTCTCGTTCAACCTCGGAATGACCATTATCTCAGTGACATCAATTTTAAATTCCCAAATCACGCAGAGCAGATTTTAGGAGGAGGTATGGTGATGGCAAACCAAGGCTTATAATCAGGTTGCATCTGGGCTTTCAATCCACGATCACAAACCAAGGGGTACGAACGTGTATCTGGTACATAACGATAAGCCATAGCATGTGTAAGACCAAAGATATTTAGTTCCACCATGCACTTAAGCCACGTCTTTCAAATAAATATTAATCAATCGTAGTTACATCAAAACCCGTCACAACACCCCAGTGCCAATAACTAGTTGATCCGGAAAAATTTAAAGCTGGACACAGGAAGAGTAACATACGATATCGGGAAACATAGAATGTTAACGCCGGAGAATAACAAGTCTCTTTATCTCCCGAAACAGATTCCATCCAGCGCAAAAGGCAAAATAGCGGTGAAGAAGGTATATGACGATCACAGCCAATCAGTGATGACGCCAGGTGTTCGCAAAACACCCTACTTGTAGCACCCGCCACTCACGCAATTTTCATCAAAAGGTAGTGGAAATGTCAAAAACAATACAGGTGCTTTCACCCGTACAGCATAATGCCCTAAATATACAACGCGAATAAGTCAAACTTTTATGCGGTATACTCTGTGGGATGCATTGCTTTAAGGGGAAATAGTGAGTGAATGAAATGTTCAGTGTCGCATTCATATATCCCCGCGGGTCAGTATAACGTTTTGTTTGTTTGTTTGTTTGTTCGTTGTTTAACGCCGCATTCAGCAACATTCTAGCTATATGACGGCGGTCTGTAAGTCTGGACCAGACAATCCAGTGATTGACATCAGAGCATCGATTCACGAAATTGGGATCGATGACATGCATCAACCAAGTCAGCGAGCCTGACCACCCGATCCCGTAAGTCGCCTCTTACGTCAAACATAGTCTCCTTTTACGGCAAGCATTGGTTGCTGAAGACCTATTGCTATTCTATCCCGGATCTTTACGGGTCCAGTTTAATGTGTGCGATACTCCCCGAATGACCCACGTGGTACACGATTACCACATTGGTGACCCAGGAGCACGCGAATGGTGCTCATAAACCAAGGATCATAATCAGTACTGTTCATAGTGTGATGATCCAGTCAGCGGATCCTGGCTCAACAAAGGGACGCAACAGCGAATTTCGACGCCTGGAACCCAATTACCCCCGGGTGTGAAGTAACGTAATCCACGTGTCTCTCCCTAAACACAGACTCTCTGTCTGATCAAGAACGAGCCACCTGTTTGATACACGGTCGATCAAGGTAGTATTTAATGTCCCAGCCTCAAAAACATTCAATGATTGTTTTCAATGTGTGCATGTGATCAATTTGGCCATTACCGTTCGGCTGTAACGTCAGTGTTCTATTCACGATCAGCGATAAAGACCTTTCAAATCGATCGCACAATCGAATAATCTCGGCCAACTCGGGCGATCATTCGGCTACACAGGTCAGCTATTACATTAATCTCGGTAAACTCATAACGCGTGTCTTGTCTCAAACTTCTCCCACTCCGGACGAGTCGGATTCGCCTATGAGGTAATTTGATGGAGAGGGAAGCAAGATTATGAGCGATTATTCAGAAAAGATTGACGTTCAAAGTCAATACTGTAGCCCCGAGTCTAAACAGAACGTTAACAGCGTTAAGCGCGATGTCGTAAAGTCAACGCGTCGTAGCGGAAGTGAGTTGTTTGGAGCTTCCGGTCCCTCCTGGTCACAATGCCATACGCCGCGGTGACTGAAGCTATGTATGTGCAGCGTCGATTTCAAAAGAAGGCATTGTTGTTTTTATCCCTGTAGCGGTAGCGGAGTTAATGCTGTAGACACACTGATTGGTATGAAATGGGTATTCAAGGCTTAAAGTCACGATAATCAGTAGTGATATAATTCCTCGAGTACTCGAGTATTCATGGCTTATGTTTTACATAATGCATGGCACGCACTGTCCCGTTTTTCGTGCCAAGGGGTAAATCGTTTTTATTTGTTATTAAGTTATGCCTTCAACGGATCCGTCGATAGCACAAATGTGGACAAATATGAACAATTTAGGAACGGTTTTTCCATCCCCCTGACCATTCTGTAAACTTTATCCTCAACAATAGGGTTTAACGTCGTGCGGGTGTGTGTGTGTGTGTGTGTGTGTGTTGGTTGGGAGGGGGTGAGGGTCGGCATGGACGTCTTTTGGTATGACGGTACCACAGACACTCAATCAACTACACCACAGAGAGGCTCTCCTGGTAGACACTCTATTAAGTAAAGTAAAGTAGCCATTCGACTCGTCCCTAAAATAATTTTATGCGTGTTATTTCAGACCATCAACAATATCTTTATGAGGTCACTTTAAAACAAAAATGATGAGATGACATGTATGATAAACGTTAAATTCTATACAAAATTTAAACAATTCCGTCCTCTATCGCACATGTGACATTAAGTGGGTGAGTGGGTGAGTGAGTGAGTGAGTGAGTGAGTGTTTTACGCCGAGTGAAGCAACATTCACCATCACAACTGCGAAACCAAGAATGGGCTTCAGGTGTGACCAGTTAGAACTTTAACCACTAGGAGTAGTAAAGACTGCCACTTTTAAAGAAAGTAATTTGAAAGCTAAGAATCATTAAACTACGAATTTATATAAATGCAACAAACTTTGACTATCACTTCGTCAGAGCTGCATAATCTAATTATTCATCAATCGTTGCTTGTTACTGATATTGAGCACTTCACGCTTAATGGGTCCAATAGATCAATAGAAAAGCCATTGACTTTATCCCTTTGTCAAATTATCCCTTTTAAGGACGAGGCATTCAAATCCAAGGCATTTACAAACAAGATAACCTGATGAGAATGAAGACACCTTTAATCGTCAGGCACCAAAATTCTCACGATGAGGAATCGGAAACACTCGGAAACGGGCGTGTAATCGTTTCCTGATTACTTAACGCCTTGTAGCCTTGGGAAACAACTTCACCGGCGAAACGATTATTTTTATGTCCATGGTTCCCAAGGTTTGCCTCTGGCGCGAAGCCACCGGGGAGCCGACTTTGCGAACAGCCAATCACCAGTCCCTTCAACAGCGCCAGCCAGTCCCCAGTAACAATGGACCCGATCTGCAGCCCGAGGATGTTGTCAGTGGTATGGCATGACTGTGGATCAATATGTCGTCCCCGTCCCCTCCCCTTTAACCACTGCACGTGCCAATAAATCTACGATTTGCAATCGACAAATTACAAGGCTGTACCCCACTTTCTTGAAAACTGTGTAAATTAACTACGTGTTAACCATTGATCTAATTATGCAAATATGGCGTCTTCCCGTTGACATAAACATAGCTGAAGCAATGGTTCCAAAGATTGCTGTCCTTTAGGATCGGTTCCGCTGCATTGAGCTTGCAGTAAAAGGCAGTTAGCGCTGTAGAAATGACTGCCATGATATCGTGGGAGAAGACTAGAGTTACCTAAGTGATTCAAACCCATCTCCGCGTGGTTCGAAACGAATCCGAAGAGTTGCCTGGATCGCTTAAACCCTCGGCTTTTAACGGCTTTATTGCGTTATGGCTACCAAACATGCTTCTCAATCGATGCCAGGAGTCTGCGGTAGTTAAAGGGGAAGTCACGGAGAATTTTTCTGCTCCCTGTGATCTGGCGGCCTTCTCGTACTTGTGCTGCTCTTGTGGTCTGTAACTGAAGGGATGAGCAGGGCTCATCACTTTCGGACGACCTTAACTTGCAATAAGTCACCACATTGTGACTTCGTATAGGGCAGAACAGGAGTACATCGTGAGGTGAACAGAATCTTGGACCAGTGTGTCAGGGTCAGCAGCGAACATGGTTAGTCGAGTAAAGCACGCCCGAGTTACACAAAACATTGATCAAGTATGTCATGGTCAGTCCGGTGACAACCGTCCGAGATAAACAGAATCTTGCACCTGTTTTCCTTGGACAGAAGAATTAGGACTTGGATCAGTCTACCATCTACCGCCAAAGAATACCGTCCCCCACAGAAGTGTTCTGTAGTCAGTCAATGTCAGCGTACCGCGACAATAAGGGTCAGCATTCCGTGACAATACGGGCAGCTTACCGTGACAATACCGCCAGCATACCGTGACAATACTACCAACGGACCGTGACAATACTACCAACGGTCCGTGACAATATGGCCAACGGACAGTGACTACGGCCAGCATCCTCTTTCAGCCTGCAACCAACGCCCTATCGCTAGACAGAGACCAGCGATCCATAGTCAGTGTTGTCGTCTTAACAATCACCAGACTACAAACAGTCGACGAAAATGACGTGTATCTCTGTGTCGACTGATTGAGACATGATTAGTAAGAGTCGGGAGTGGAACCCGGTTGAATTTCCTGACCAGCGACCGCTGTACCATCAAGACGTATAGACAGGCGTCACTGTTTCCGATATCAACTGGAATACTTACATACCAACGTTTGGGTCAATCAGGAGGTAAAACAGGCGTTTATACAGTCGTATGTCATAAAGAATGTCGGAATGTGTTATTGTAGCAATTGTGTGCGTGCGTGGGTTGTCACCGAGTCTGACCACCCGACCAATGAAAGCCTCTAACAATCAACAAAGCTTGCTAGGGACCAAATCGAACCTGGAATTCCCACGGGGTATTGTAGCAAGTCAAGTGCGTGTTAAGGATTTCCACCAGAATTTTGTTTAGTGGGGATAATGGGAACATGATCAAGTATTATGGAATGGCAATCTCCCCATCTCAAGATCAAAGCACTATATTAACGTTCACCATATCAGCTCAAACCGTAGTACTGTTCCTCCAGACATTCACGGCTGTCTCTGTGTGCAGATGACTGAAGTGGTCGCATTAATAACACAATCTCCGACACTTCCATTGGATCAGACCACAGCGACGTCAAAATGAACACAAATTGACAACAGACTTAACGTTACATCCAGCTGTAGCGGTGAGCTCCGCACATGTCAAAACGACGCGAACTCTTCCCGCATGACGTAGTATTATAACGTTGTCAATTATAACTACTGTTAGGGCATTGGAAATAAAAATTATATTTCTAATTTTCGACAGATAATACAAGTGATTGAATAAATCATCAATAACAATTATGAGTCTTTTATTATATGATTTAAGGGCAACACAAAAACTGATTACACAGTGCATAGAGGAAATTGCAGTTTCGTGTTCTGTTGGTCGACATATCGTATTGACGTTCAAGTCGATTGGAGGCGGTGGGGTGGGCATTGGGGTTAGGATCGGGTGGTGTATAAATTCAATGTGTTATCGGAGCATCATATTGATATATCGATCTTATACATACGGGTAAACTATACATGATCTGCCATTAAAGCTAAACGCGTCTCATTTCGTCATACTCGTATGGAAAGCCGACAGGGACAACTACATAGGCTATTTGATCAATGGTGTTGGTGTTGTTTGTTTCACTGAGCAACTCGGGGATACTTAAATACACTAAAATAAATCGTATCGCGCTATGATAGTTTCTCTGAAAAGAATAGAATATCCATAAAATCAAATACTGGGTGTAGTAAGATTAATGTCAAATAAAAGCGACAAAGAACATTTCCGTAATCATAATATATATAAAACGTCATCGCTTGGGAATAACGTCTCCGCCATTTTCCGCCGCCATATTTCATTCGTCTTATAAGACAAATTAACGGTGAAAACATGAATAGATCACTGAAATTCAATGATGGAGCCAGGTGTTCGCGAAAAGGATACGCATGTCCTGCCCCACATGCAGAACCCGCCACTCACACCATTTGCATAACAATGTGTTTGTTTGTTGCCCGACGCCTGACAGTGGTACAATGTACCCCTCCCAGGCGAAGGCGACTAAAGACGTCGATTGTACGACTCCGACGATTCCCCCAGTGTTGTGTTTAAACGCTATATGTGACACTGAAATACTGTGTGGACAAGTTATGTGCTGAATATCATGAGCATGTGTTTATGAACCACTATGAAACAGTGACGATACCAGATACTTCACAAAACCAGTCACGAGAACATTACCTCGTATGCCAGGACGTTGGTCGCCGCTTCTGATGTTTGATCATCTTATACCGAGCTATGGTGGACGGTGGTCTCGTGATTTTAAAACCGACATGTAAAATTCTGAAAGATAAAAAACACAAAATCAAATTAGTGGGAAGATCCTGTCACGTAGATGACACATTGAGCTCTGTGACGTTGGCATGGCGCGAAGAGCTAAGGTTTTGAGAAATTAGAATGACAGCGCAGTTTTGTCGTTTCTTTTCGATTTCAAATTACGACAGAAACATTAATTAATATAAAACCGTGCTGTGTGTAATCTAGATCGCCGTTTGGTTCAACAAAACAAAATGACAGATATATCACGGGGTGGAATAATAACGTTCGGAGACGTTAACCTGCTGACAGGTCAAGGTCAGAATGTTCGAACCTATAGCCAACGGATCATTGCGGTTAACGAACCCATCTCCAGATAGCTGCTTTCAGTGCCTTTAAGCATATGGTTACCCATTATGTTGTCCATGTATAGATTGTTTTGGATGTTGAACGCTGCACATATTCCAGCCTTATCAGGTCGGTCAGACAATCCAGAGATTGATATTGTGAGCAACGATCCACGTCGTCCGACTGCGATGAAACACAACCAGCCAATTCTGTTCTCTCTGTAATAACCTATGCTGATATGATTCCTTATTTGTATAATTCTGAAATAATCGTTCTTTTTCCCAAATCTGCCATTTCCACAGTGGTCGTGTTAGCCGTCTACCTGCTTGTTTACCAAGGGAAACAACTCTGGTCATACTTAACCAATATGACACGCGGAGTTGTCTCTCTTTCGAATCAAAGGCAGAAAGGGTTCTACATACATCTTAAATATGGTAAATATTGATGGCCAATTCTCAATGATTCTCTGTTCAAACTATATTAGGCACTGTGCCAATTTCAGAAGCGATCATATCTTTAAAACAACCGTAAGTCTATGTTTAAGGATGGCAGATACGCAGTCGTAGCGCTACGATGGCTTTGTGAAAGCGGTCCTTTCGAATCCATGCATGGGGGTTCAAACCTAAATATCTCTAAAAGCACCAACTTCACTTAAGACTTCCACACACCGCAGTGCACACCCCTAAGGACCCGCAACCCAATAATGCTATACACGCATATATGTGCTGACTTCATCACCATCATCTTAAACAACACGAGCACCTCTGTTTGCCTATCCGTACACTACCACCTACACCACCACAGTCATCAGCATAGTCATCGTCACTACCGTCGTCGTCGTCGTCGTCATCCTCGTCGTGCACTTACCTGTAGGCCATGTCGTCATCCTCGGCTCCCCAGCCCCAGTACATGTTAGAGTAGCCATTCAGCTCTTGATAATGTTCTACACGGAGATTAAGTACACCTCCAACTAATATATCGTACTTTAACCTGAAAGAAAGAGAACAACAAAATATTATTTTTGAAACTTACTAATAGCACAACACCTTAATACAATTATGTACAAGGTGTCAAAGCTATCACGACTCGTGTCACAAATGACGTTACGGCTTTCACAACTAATGTCACTATCACTATTGCTATAGCAACCACGAATAGTGGCACTTGTGTTAACACACCTTCTACAACTAGTGTCACTATTGTTGTCGGGTCTACCACAACTCGTGTTACTCTTGTTGTCACAGCTACCACAATCAGTATCACTTTCCATGCTACAACAGCCCTGAATAGTGTCAATATTTACGCTAAGTTTCCAATACTAGTGTCACTTTTGTTACTACAGCCACCACGAATAGTGTCACTTTTGTAGTACAGCTTCCAGTACTAGTTTACTATTGGTGCTACAACCACTACGAACAGTGTTACTACTGGTGCTCAGCTACCACAAGTAGTGTCACTATAATTGTTGTACAGCTTCCAATACTAGTGTCACTACTGTTGTACAGCTTCCAATACTCGTGTTACTACTGTTGTACAGCTTCCAATACTAGTGTCACTATTTTTGCTACAGCTTCCACGAATAGTGTCACAATTGTTGCTACAGCCTCCACAACTGGGGTCACTATTATTGTTAGCGTTTCTGATACTAGGGTCAGTACTGTTGCTACAGCCACCACGAATAGTGTCACAAATGGTACTACAGCCACCACAGCCTGTCAATGGACGCCTACACGTCACAGACAGTGCGCGTGGTGGAGGGAGGACGCTTTTACGCGTTAGACAAACAGCAGAACAGGAAACACCTGTAGATCTCCCTTTACACTCTGTCAAAATCTTCAACACTTATGTAATGATCTCTAACATTGCTCTACAACCGGAAGTTGCTCAACCATATGACCTTCCAGGTGACATAGTGTGGTTTGGTCAGTGTGAGCCAGACGAGGGAGGCCAGGAGACGAGATTAACCCCGCCAAACGTCGGAGCAGACGACACTTTCACCAGGGCAGTCCGGTCAGTACGACAACATAAATTGAAGCCTCCGGGATCGATTCCTTGTAGCAAACAGCTAGCATGAGTAATTTGGAAGTTTTTCTAGCGTTAATTTCCCCTCCAAGATGCAGCTGAGCGAGACCCCGGGCTATGGTGATGTCGTCGGATTCCTCCGGAAATTATGTGTGAGGCAGGCAAGGCTGGGTATCAAGATAATCTGTTAGACAGATAATGACAAGCTTCAATGTCCTTAGCTCACGCACAGACACCGGGGAGAAGACACACCACAATTACATCGAATCCAGATGATCCCTGATCTCAACGACCACGGGACCATCAGGCCAGTCGGCCTTCACCTTGGATTATATATCAGTACACCTCGAGTCCATGGATGTACAGTTATTCTTGATCTGTAATCATAGCAAGTCTAGATAAGCGGACAGGACACATTAGAACGCCAGTCTTAATTGGGACACTTTGTTCCTATTATTCATAAAATCTAGAAATCATGATCTAACCTCATAATGCTTTAGAGTCTTGTGCAAGGCTATCCGCGAGAGAGCGTCATGCGGATACTTGCCGACAGACTTCATTTCCACATTTGCTAGACACGCAAGTCAAAGCACGTTTATTATGCGGTTAAAGTGTGGAGAAGGTGATCTGGATATCGATTTCATATATCCGACAATCATCGTGTCATCAACGTCAGGGTATAGCCTTCGGTTAGGTGATCGTCAGTGTTTCATGAGGAGAGCTTGACATTGATCTGGATACTAAATTCACCAATTACCTATGAATATGACAGGGAAGACAGAAAATATAATCATATAGCCAGTGGTCTTATATAAATGCTAAGCAATCGAGACCGCTGTTTCCAGGAGTCATTGACCCGTCTTCCATGAACCATTCAGGATATCGATCCCTGCTTATCTCGGAAACTATAGATCGTGTTTTTCACAAGAAAGCAACAATACTGTTCATATTTCTTCAGTTCCCGCATGTCATAATAGACCTGTTTAGGTGTTTAGAATGTGTAAGAGGTTGGACACGACTTGTGTTAAGTGGCCTATGTAAATGTAGCTGCAGCTGCGTTAGGTGATAATTTGCCCATGGTTGATCTTTAGATGGTGGTGTGTGTTTGGTCTTGAGTTTGCCTATGGTTGACCTTCAGATGGTGGTGTGTGTTTGGTCTTGAGTTTGCCAATGGTTGACCTTCAGATGGTGGTGTGTGTTTGGTCTTGAGTTTGCCAATGGTTGACCTTCAGACGGTGGTGTGTGTTTGGTCTTGAGTTTGCCAATGGTTGACCTTCAGATGGTGGTGTGTGTTTGGTCTTGAGTTTGCCAATGGTTGACCTTCAGACGGTGGTGTGTGTTTGGTCTTGAGTTTGCCAATGGTTGACCTTCAGATGGTGGTGTGTGTTTGGTCTTGAGTTTGCCTATGGTTGACCTTCAGATGGTGGTGTGTGTTTGGTCTTGGACATCTCCCGTTGTAAATACATCCTACGTTTCCGATCGATGGTGTATGTCTTATTTCGGAACTGACATTCCTACTTCATATCAAGCAAATGTTTTCCATGAAGTAGGATAAATATATGAATCAGTTTCCCAAAAGGTTTGTTGCCCATTTTCCCGACTAGAATGTTGACTACGTGGCGCACTTTCTCTGCAAGTACCCTAAGCATGTTAAGCACTTTCCCAACAAACGTCATGATCACGTGAATCAGTTTTCCTGCTAGCATCTTGGACACGTGAAGTGTTTCCCTGCAAATATCATGAACATTTGACGCAGTTTCCCCGCAAACATCATGAAACCGTTTCCCCGGAAGCATCATGAACATATGAAGCAGTTTCCCTGAAAGAATCATGAACATGTGAAGTGGTTTCCCTGGAATTGTCATGACCACTGGAAGCAGTTTTCCAACAAGTATGAGAAACATGAGAAGCTGTTTCCCTACAGGTATGAGGAACATGAGAAGCAGTTTCCCAACAAGTATGAGGAACATGAGAAACTGTTTCCCAACAAACATCATGAACACGAGAAGCTGTTTCCCTACTACTTTGATGAACATGAGAAACTGTTTCCCAACAAACATCATGAACACGAGAAGCTGTTTCCCTTCTACTATGATGAACATGAGAAACTGTTTCCCTACAAACATCATAAACATGAGAAGCTGTTTCCCTACAAGTATGATGAACATGTGAAGCTGTTTCCCTACAAGTATGATGGACACGAGAAGCTGTTTCCCTACAAGTATGATGAACACGAGAAGCTGTTTCCCTACTACTATGATGAACATGAGAAACTGTTTCCCTACAAACATCATGAACATGAGAAGCTGTTTCCCAACAAACATCATGAACACGAGAAGCTGTTTCCCTACTACTATGATGAACATGAGAAACTGTTTCCCTACAAACATCATGAACATGAGAAGCTGTTTCCCAACAAACATCATGAACACGAGAAGCTGTTTCCCTACAAGTATGATGAACACGAGAAGCTGTTTCCCGACAAGTATGAGGAACGTGAGAAACTGTTTCCCTACAAGTATGATGAGCATGAAAAGCTGTTTCCCTACAAGTATGATGAACACGAGAAGCTGTTTCCCTACAAGTATGAGGAACGTGAGAAGCTGTTTCCCGACAAGTATTTATTACACCGCGGCTACCAATGTTAACCTGTTTTGAATTGCGAATGGGCTACTTGTCAAAATATAATCCTATGTCATGAGATTACATGTAACGTGAATAACAACAGACTGATCTGTCACATCGCTGCATTGCTGCCATGTTGGATGCTACGGTGTTTATTGCTTTCGGCCCCTGGACGACGGAATCGTCCTTCCAACATTTGTCAGCTGTGACACTGACTTCGGCGTAGTCTTCAGAATTTACATCCACAAAGCCACTAATGTCACAAGACCAACGCGTTGTTAGTATTAATTGTATTACTGTATGAACATTTGCTAACCAATTCCCGACAAGCTAGCATTGAGACAACTTCACGTGGTATTAAGTTGTTGCATTACATTATGTGTTTGTCATTTTAGTAGCCTTTCGCCAAGGCTGTTCTAAAGGAAAAGTCCATGGATGTGTGGTAATGCTGCCCTCCTAATAGGCAAGTCCAGATATGTGGACAAGGGCTCCAGTATAAGATTGGGACAAGTTGTTCATGTTATTTACATAATCTAGAGGGGGCACGGTGGCCCAGTCGTCTAAGGGCTGCGATTCGCTGTGCAGAGTTGCGTCCCTTGGGTACGCCAGAAACCTATGATTGTGGGTTCGAATCCCGGTTCGCCCCGATTATGTTATTTGGGTTGTCAGCACCATACCCGTGCTCGTGGGTTTCACCGAAGTGGTAAATGTCTGAGACCTGCATCACTTCGGGCTTTCCTCCCACATTAAGCTGACACGCCGTGATATAACTGGAATACTGTTAAAAGCGGCGTTAAACCAAACTCACTCACTCCGATAATCTAGAATTTGTGATCTAAAGTAGTTATTGCCTTAGAGACTTGTGCAAATCTATCACGTTGGCCACGTCTCAAGATATGTGGCAAGACTGTGATTTCGTTGTTACTTATTCTAGAATACATGTTTTTGTGTTAATATTTGTGGACACAAACTTTCATTTTCATTGTCCATAACCAGTGCAGAATGACACCAGGTGGTCAGAGGTCATAATATTACATCAGTATTATGCAGTCAGGGATTAATAAGAATAAATGATTGCATCTAATTAGATGTAATATTCAAGAAACTCCTGTCAGTCTAATACTTCTTCACATAATATAATGCTGAATGGAATGGCATCAATGGATTAAAATCTACCCATTTCTGTTAACGGTGAAAGAGTTAAATGGGTTAACTCGGTGAGGAACAGTATATCAGTTATATCACGGCGTGTCAAGTTTAAAGCCCGTAGTAATACAGGCGTTTACCACTTTGATGAAACCCACGAGCGCAGCGCGTGTACGGTGGACTCGACCTTTGATCATTCAATCCGACTCAGGTACGTAGCTCTGCACTGCAAATTGAAATGCCCTCAGCGAAAGGGTCACTCAAGCCTCCTGTTCTGTTCAGATAATCTTGAACCGAGTTTGAATACTATGTAAGAGGCCCATAAATATATTTACACGAAGGAAGAGTGTGTGCAATAAAATGAGTTAGAGTAGAATCTTAATGTCAAAATTACAAGACGGACAGGGATATGCAGCAACCCATGCTTGCCGTAAAAGGCGGCTATGCTTGTGACTAATGGGATCGGCTGGACAGCCTCGCTGACGTGGTTGAACCATGTTATCGTATCCCAATTGTGTGGATCGGTGCTCATTGTGTCAATCACTGGATTGTCTTGTCCAGACTCGATTATTTACAGACAGCACTCATATAGCTGGAATATTGCTGAAAGCGGCGTTAAACAACAAAACAAACAAACAAACACAGTCCTTAAAACCATGTTATTTTCCCTTTCGTCCAGCCCTTACGGAAATGCTATATCAGAAAATGAAGTCTAGGTTCAAATGCTATCTTACTGGGGCCACTTTCAATATAAATGTAGCTGCTTGTTCCTGTCAAAAGGATATCTTTTTATCAGAGGGGACACGGGTGGCCCAGTCGTCTAAGGCGCCGCGATTCGCTGTGCAGAGTTGCGTCCCTTGGGTACGCCAGAAACCTATGATTGTGGGTTCGAATCCCGGTTCGCCCACATTATGTTTCTTGGGTTGTCAGCACCATACCTGTGCTCGTGGGTTTCACCGAAGTGGTAAATGTCTGAGACCTGCATCACTTCGGGCTTTCCTTCCACATTAAGCTGACAAGCCGTGATATAATTGGAATACTGTTAAAAGCGGCGTAAAACCCAACTCACTCACTCTCTTTATCAGAGACTCCGCGTTAGTGTACCCGCGGTGTGGTTTCCTCTTCACACACTTACGTGAGAGTAATTTGCAATCCAACAGTTAAGACACGGAGCAATACAGAATATAGACCCAGCGGAATATAAGCGACAAAACCCTTTCCACATTCAGAAGAAATCAGTCAAAAACAGAGTCGACTGTACGAGTCCAACCACATCTATCAAACAGTGATGATACCAGGTGTTTGCGAAAAGGTGAGCGTATCCTGCCCAACCGGTGGCACCCGTCACAAACACATGCAAAGGCAGGTCACCTAAACACGGGAACATATGGTACAATTATAAAATTGGGAATTCCATCGGCCATTTTAAAGCTTTTCTGAAGCATCTAATGTTGAAACAACGTTTGGTCAAGATCCGCTCTATGAAATCTTCAAAGAAAGTATATATGTACCTCCAAAGTTGTGAAACGTAGACACCGAAAGGAGGAGCTGCTGGAATATTGCTCGACATGAAGGGGAAGTTGACGAGTGGAAAGGGGAAGTCATCCCTCTTGTCATACAGTAAATGGAGGTTTTTTAACACTCTGATTCTAACGCATAGATCTAAACACGAAGCCTTGGCATATGTCCTCTATGTTACAAATTACACTGCTACCCACTTCAAGAAGTACACCAATGGCAGGTAAAAACGCGCGACGACCTGCCACTCTAAATATCCATTAGGCAAATGTGGCAGTGAGTTTAGGACGGTTTACAGACCTCCACATTCTTATAGTAACCCTTCGGCAACACCTTTTAGCAACAAGCATAACTTTATGGGAGAGGAGGAAATGCCGTGTAAAAAATAAATCTCACAAACACATAGAATCAATTAAAAGGACTCTAGCTTGTATGTATTTGGAGTTTTTTTCACACAAATATTTCATTCCTCACCCCGGCACAAGACTTGGTGTGAATAAAACGGCAATGTCTTTGAGGTATTTGACATAGTATTTACTTAAGGCCCCAGGCAAAGACATTTAGGGTGAGAAAACAAGTTGTGTCTGAAGTGAAGCACCACCTGTAAATGTCCTTTCAGTCGAAATGTCTTTAAAACCATTACCAAGTTGTTATTTTAAGTCTGCTCTCAGGCTAAAGAGCGTACAAGACACTTTCGTCGGCTTTAATTCGCATTCAAATAAGCTGTCTGACATGAAAAAGTGTTAGAGTGATGTAGCTATACTCAAAGATTGTTCACCTTGGAAGAAACCAATTTGACAACGCCAGTGAGGACATTGGAATATACTATTCAAAAGAAGTAAAGGAACACTAGGGTTAATCTGCCATGGCATGGGACCTCATGACAGATTAACCGTAGTAATATGAATGAAGCGGATGTTCTTTAACTTCTTTTGAGTAGTATACAGTAAACTACGTTTATAACAAACGCGCGTATAGCGAACTGACAGATATTTTTAGTCCCAACCATTTGTTGTATAAATGCTATATATATTCTTATTACAAACTAAGATTATAACGAACAAAAAGTAGTGGTTCCTTTGAGTTCGTTATAACCGTAGTTAACTGTACTTCAACCAAACGACAAGAATAGGGACAAGATGTCAGAATGCGGGGTTTACGCTGTCACAACTTTCATGTAGGTTGGGGTAAAAGAATAAGAATTTATGGAACCGCCTATATACATAAACACAATACAAGAAGGTAAATCGTATCTTATGGAACCGCCTATATACATAAACACAATACACGAAGGTAAATCATATCTTATGGAACCGCCTATATACATATACACAATACAAGAAGGTAAATCATATCTTATGGAACCGCCTATATACATATACACAATACATGAAGGTAAATCATATCTTATGGAACCGCCTATATACTTAAACACAATACAAGAAGGTAAATCATATCTTATGGAACCGCCTATATACTTAAACACAATACACGAAGGTAAATCATATCTTATGGAACCGCCTATATACATATACACAATACACGAAGGTAAACCATATCTTTTCCAAACGTATGGAACTTAATAATTACATAATCAATAGTATACACGATAAAACGTTATTAGTGAGCAAAACATACAACTAAGGTCAAGGACATGTACATGTATACGAGATGTCACGAGAAAAGGCCGTCATTATACTTAAGGCCGAACAGGAAAGGCTTGTTGCAAAGTTCATATATATATTTATCATTTAACTTAAGCATTTATCCATGACATAAGCTTATGACATAAAAACATGTATGTCATACCCCAATGACATAAGTATGCAAATTAGATATGCAAATTAGATAACCGGAAGAGCGAGCGGTTTGATTTGAAACTATATATTATAAGTGAAGTTACACCAGAGATGTAATCAGATTACACAGAATCGTTGTTGTTACCGTTATTAAAGTTTCAATTATTCTGCAAAAGTCTGTTCAAGTATTTTGTTTAAAATAATCCGAGGAACTTTTTTTCTCAGCGAATTGTTTATTTTGGTTTACATGGCTATGGAAAACATGTATCACTACGCACGATCTATACGTAAGATTTCGACAAGTTGCTGATGTTAATGTTTAATGCAATTATTCCTTAATTTGGAAGCAAAAATGTGAAAATGATAAATAGAATTCATCACTCGTGTTTTTTAATATGGGAAATATCAACCTCGTCCCGTTCATCGGTATTTGCCTCGCCAAAGGCTCGGCAAATACCGATAAATTAAGACTCGGTTGATATTTCCCATATTAAAAAACACTCGTGATGATTCCTCTATATATACCTACACAGATTCAAGCATTTTAAGGGACACGAAATCAGATAACCCAGATAGTCACGGGGATGTCGCAACAGCACTAAACATATTCGCATGATCCACATGCAACCTCTTTGTAACTTACCTATAGTCCATTTCATCTATAGCAACTGACATGTGGCGAGGTTGCCACGGACACGAGTACATGTTCCTATCATCTTCAGGTATAAGATCTACATCGTGGAAGACAACGCACTGGAAGTCAAATATCTTGAGCGCTTCTTTAAAGGCAGCATTCATGATACGGCCCTTGTTGAATGTATCATTGCCGAACTGAAACAGACACATATATCGATCAGAAAGAGTGAGTGAGTGAGTGAGTTGGGCTTAACGCCGCTTTTAACAGTATTCCAGTTATATCACGGCGTGTCAGCTTAATGTGGGAGGAAAGCCCGAAGTGATGCAGGTCTCAAACGTTTACCACTTCGGTGAAACCAACGAGCACGGATATGGTGCTGACAACCCAAGAAACATAATGTGGGCGAACCGGGATTCGAACCCACAATCATAGGTTTCTGGCGTGCCCAAGGGAAGCAACTCTGCACAGCGAATCGCCGTGCCGCCCGGTCAAGAAGAGCTTATATAGGTCAACACAATGTCTGTCAGAGATCGCGCTACAAGATAGAGATAACAGGCCTGCTGCTGTTCCTGTTCAGTAAGTAGGGTTATCTATGTAATACGATATCAAAAATGGTATTTGTTAGGGATAGGAATATTATGGTGCAGTGTATTTGCAGATGAGTAAAGCAGGCGTGCTTTTTTACGTCCTCTGTCTAACATCCTAAATCCTACTTTCACCATTTTCCGGCGAAAGGCGAGGCAGTACGACAACCGTGGTTTAAACTAAACACACGAGGGCGATGGGGATAGACTTTTCTCGTTTCGCTGAGGACCCCGTTGTATAAATGTGTGAAATCAACTTGTTTTGTCCCCTGCTGTAACAGAGGTAGAAATATGTCTAAAAGAGACTTAAAATTAAACTCACTAACACCCACACACCAAGCCTTGCTCCAAGGCTGTACTGAAAGAAAATGTCCATGGGTGTTTAGTAATTCTATGCCCCTAATAGACAAGTCTAGATATTCGGACAGTACTCCAGTCTCTTATAGGGACAACTTGTTCTTTTTATTTACATGATCTCGAAATTATGATCTAAACTCATAATTATTGCCCTAGAGACTTTGGCAAGTCTACCACTCACTCAACATACAGACCCATGTTCCCGGTCAACAATGAGACGCAGGTCAGCTGTAGCTCTGGGATCGCTGTGCGAATCTAGACAGGAAACCACATAATCTACTCAACAACTGCATGTATTCCATTAAAAACCAGATATACTAATTGGCAGTGCCATCGTCAGCAGCCAGGAACGCCATTTAGAGAACCCGTATAGATTTGCGCAATAGCGTGCACCATGGACACACGCTCCCCCACATCAAACCACCGTCAAGGTTACACAACGTACAGGAAGTGTTTCTCTGTCTAATCCCAAGATCAATCTACAACCAGCTAGATTTGAATACACGCTAACTAGTCGTTTCTTGCACGGGATATAGGACACAGCAATCAAATTCCCTCTTGGCCTGTAGTCAGGGGATTGCCTGGACAACCATGGCTTGTCACTGTATTATACAAGTGAATTAATCAGAGGTGAACGATAGAGCGGCACCGCCTGACCCGCGATGACCCCTTTTCCTTACCGTCGGGCCGCAGCACACGCGATGTAGACACGATCAGATTGGCTGCTCTTCATTCATAGTGCATGGGTGCCCCGGGCACGGCGCCCTAATCTACTCGAGACACATGCATGAATCAGGTAGATGTTTATGTGCAGGTTCGCTGTGCTATGCAATGTTAACATCGAATCTCCAAGACTAGTGACTGGAGATATGACTGAACGGGCTTCCCAGCTGAGCATTATTTGAGCAGTGGGTACAAGGGTACTTGTACCTGTGTCAAATAAAAATCGTTAACAACAAGCAAAATCGTATTTGTAAATTCAGAAATGTACGGAATAAACATAACCATATACAATTCTCTTCGACATTTGGCCCAAAAGAGTAGTTTGCTCTTCGTTTTCTTCCGTATCTCTTCGATGGCCGAGTCGTCTTAGGCGCCGCAATTCGATTTGCAGAGTTGTGTCCCTTGGGCACGACAGAAACCTATGATTGTGGGTTCGAATTCCGGTTCGCCTCGATTATGTTTCTCGGTTTGTCAGCACCATACCCGTGCTCGTAGGTTTCACCCAAATGGTAAATGTCTGAGAACTGCATCCTATTCCTTTAAATGCACGACCAGTCCGTAAGATAAAGTCAAGTTAACACTGGAAACATATAGGGAATAGTACTTACGAGACATTTATTAGTCCAGACACAGTGTTTTGGAGGGTATCCAAATCACTTCCCAACGAATAAAATATCACTAGCTAATACAAACACTGTCAAAATGCATTAGGGTTCCTGGCATTTGAAAACTAAATGTGAAAATAATGTTTCCCGAAATCAGAAAAAACGCTGGGTCATTAATTTTTTAAACACTGTGAATGAAAATTCATTGTAGAGGCGAATTATAGTAAGATCTGTTTCACTACAACAAACAGGAAGTACTTGAAGATCGGTGACCGATTCCGCACATTTATAACGATGTATCGTGTTCTGTACGCCTAGAGTTGTCTCGTATCAATGGTATAAAGGAGTAACCGGTGCCTCCACGATTCACCCATTATCGAGATCCTTGGTTTCTCATCATCATACTCTATCATAATCTGGCATTCTACGAACTAGATGGGCGGAGTTCTACGAACTAGATGGGTGAAGTTTTAGGATCTAGATGGTTGGAGTCCCATGTCTGTTGTGCTATCTCAGATATGATATGCAAGAATCTATTATTCTACGAACTAGATGGGAAGAGTCAAAGGTTTGATGTGCTATCTCAGATATGATATGCAATAATCTACTTTTCTACGAAGTAGATGAGAAGAGTCCACGATCTGGTGTTATCGGAGATATGATACGATATAAGTATTCGACTCAGGACATGGTTCCCAGGTTCGGTGTTATCCGTCACCCACGACGTGATGTATCAGGACCGAGTATGTGTGAGTGGGTGTAGCGCAGGTCCGATAAAAACCTGACCCCCGTCAACATGTAAGTCTTCTGACAGGGGTGCCATTGACTGCAGCTTGCATTGTGAAATCAATTCATATAAAAAGAAACGCAATGCAGTCGTGAAGGAAAACGAAAAGAAATTTCCAAGCTGTTTGATTACATCTGAATGAGAGATACAAAACCATTAACAGGCTAGTTTAGGAAAGCTACCAATTTGATTAGGACTATGTTGATCTAACGAAGCGAATGAAACTCGCCCGATCGATACATGTCGATTTGGCCTAGACTGCTGATTGTGAATTTACAAGGTGATATTGGGCCAGAAGAACCTGCTGACCAAAGCGTGTGCATCCATCATGGCGGACTCGCTCACCTTTTGTTTGGAAAGAGGTTAACCATGTCACGCAAATATAACGTATGTGGATGGAAGTGGTAACGTAGTTTTCACAAAGCGGATCAGGGCGAGAGCATTGTGGTTTAGTATTTGTTGGATTAAGAGAAAGAGAGAGAGAGAGAGAGAGAGAGAGAGAGAGAGAGAGAGAGAGTTTGTGTGTTTGTTTATTACGTCGCACTATTCCAGCTATATGAAGGCGGTTTGTAAATAATCGAGTCTGGACCAGACAATCCAGTGATTGACATCATGAGCATCGATCCACGCAATTTGGATACGATGACATGCATCAACCAAGTCAGCGAGCCTGGCCACCCGATCCCGTTAGTCGCCTCTTACGACAAGCACAGTCGCCTTTTACGGCAAGCATGGGTTGCTGAAGACCTATTCTATCCCGGATCTTTACGGGTACGAGGAGAGAGTGAGAGGCATATGCTCAACTGCGACTTGTTGGTGAATACAGTTCACTAGTCAGTCTCCTATATACACTTGAGGATAAATTTGATAAGGAAGCCAATTCTTACCTAGAAATGATTCGAAAAAATCTAGATTGCCTCAGCTCTGAAATTAAGCATTGTTTTGGGTTCCCTTCAGATTTTATATTTTTATTTTATAGATACATTTTTTATAAAGAAAACTGTATTTCTGTGACTAGATGTGAACAGTTGACAGGACTTCTTTTACGGAGACGTCGCTTTGAATGAATACAGAAGTATACGCTCATTGAAACAAGAGTAAGTCGTATTTTATTTACATCGCTCTCGGCAATATTGAGGCTATATCGTGGTGTGGGACAGCAGACATAGTTACGACATTCTTAAGAACCGAATCGTTCTTAACGAGCAAACGCCTTAATCACCTGGCTACCATGTCACCACCAATAACAAAGACGCACGCAGTGTCCATTTAGAATACTGTCACTGCCATGCGCGTAGGCATTCAACCCGGCTGTGCAGACATCGTTACGGAAAAATACGCTATATTGATACCGTGGTATTGACACCGTTACGAAATGGGCAGGGTGGATTCCATATGAAAGTATTGGTCAATCAATAGCCTTTGTTAAATGTAGGAAATGCATATAAACAAGATGATACATGTAGTATCATGTCTGTTCCTAGTCTGTTTTCTTGAAAGAATCAGCTTTTTGTCCACACAACCTTTATCCAGAGCCGGGATACACACCAACTGTAGAGGGGCAACTGAGCACAAACACAGCTGACCGTACACTGATGCGCAACGATGGCCGTGACAATGCACCACTGCTGACTGGGCGCAGTCTCAATTGTATTCCCAGGTGTCCCCTGAATATAGACGGGCCGTTTCCTCGCGAGATCTGAATGTTTTATAAGACATATGGCGAAGACAAGACCATTGAGCGCCTGGATATTTACAAGTATTTGCTTTGCTGTACAATACACACACAGAAAAAACGACCATTGTGTCACATTTCGCAGACTCGGTGATGCCGTGTGGCTGCCGTCTTCACAAAACAAAAGAACCCCAGGTAGTGTCATAAACATACAAAATAACATCATCGTTGTATTGGAATAACAGTGAAATGATGTAAAAGCTGGATTAAGGGACCGTGGGCAGCTTGAGGAAGTGTTGTAGGCGTTCCAAGCTCACGAATCATATACAGTAAAATACATTTGTAACGAACACGCTTATAACGAACTGACGGTTATTACGAACTTATTTTTTGGTCCCCACAATTTGCTGTATAGATGTTGTATGTATGATTATAACGAACTACGGTTATAACGAACTTAAAT